CTATCTATCTATCTATCTATCTATCTATCTATCTATCTATCTATCTAAATAATCATTTCTTGGATAGTACTAAGAGTCATGATACTAACTATAGTAGAGTCATATGTTTTAGTCAATTACTGAAACATTCAAAGTTGCTTTCTCAGAAAAGAAGTTGTGAAATAATGTGCACTTCATCTACTAAAGAACAGTATAATAAAACTCCTGATCATGTATTATTCTGTTAGGTAAATTAAGCTTCATTACAATGATGCCTTTGAAAAGGGCTATACAAAAAAAAAATAAAAATAAAAAATAAAATAAAATAAAAAGAAAAGGGCTATACAACATTTCACTTCATGCTGCTTGACCTGAAACTGAATAATGAAGACATTATTTTTATGACTATTAAGAACATGATGATTTCAAAAATCCCCAAATCAAATGAAAAAAATCTTTTATATTTTGAAGATCAATTTTTGTTTCATTGTTTTACAGGAAAACTTGGAGATTTTAATACCAGAGAGAGAGGCAAATTCAGATAGCATATGTCTAAAATCTTCACTCTTTGTGTACTGGATCTTCCTTACTACATTCTCCCAAGTAAAAGAGCAGTCATACACTAAAGGACAAATTGGTCCTACTAAATATTCAAATAGATGAACACATTTTAGTGATATCTCTTTTTAATCTACTTGCTTACATAAAAGTAACACTGTCAGATTTCAGGATCAGCATTTTGTTTTATTTGAAGAGCAATTAATTAAATGCTATTCACCCACAAGTATAGTTAAATAGATGTTTGTAGAAATAAGAGTGTATGATAAGACAACATTATAATAATTATTTGGGGACATGATTTAATATTATTCAAACAAAAAAATTGTTTTTACAATTAAAATTCAAAATGGTTCACTTGTCATTAATTTGACAGTATACAAACAGAACATACAGCTCTTTGAAGTTGTAATAATTTTATGTGAATTTACTGACATTTACAATTTAAAATATTTTTAAAAACTAGAAAGATGTTAATTGTAAGCACTCAGTGAATTTGGCTTTGCATTCAAGCTTGATGCATTCTTTAGAGTTCATGATCCATATAGACTGACATTGTTTACTTTGAAACTTGTTTTGTATGTAAAATAAAAATAACCATCATCAAGTTTTTAAAGAGCTTGTATAACTTTTCTGAACTGGTTCTTTGTATTACAGATACTTTCACAGATAATAGAAATGATATAGATATTAATCTGGGCCATGAATGTATATCTTTTATTTCATAGATTGGTGATGAGGTAGTGATTGTCTCTTGAAAGCAACCACATAATCAACAATCCTTAGTTTTAATTAGAATAATGGTGCTAATATTACAATTATAACAAAGTAGTCATATGTCAATGTACAAAACTTTAATGTTTACCGTTATCTTAACCGTACAATTCTGCCAATTTTTTAATTTAGTTAGATATGCTAGTTAAATAACTAGATGGAATGCTCATGTTTACCTCAAATATTTTTATCTTAGGTGATGCATGTGACAGAGTAATACATATTTGGAGATTTATATATGATATTATTCTCAATGCACAAGCAGTACATGGATACAAATAGATAATTAGAATGTTATTATCTTCAGACATTAATATTTTACATGCTTTTATATAAGAAATTTCGAGTACTT